TCCATGTACCACCACGTAGTTTAAGAAATAATTACAGAGTTAAAGTGCCTTCCTAATCTCTCCTCTTCTATTTCTCTCCAAAGGTAACAGTTATCTGGGTTTTGTTGATAATCATTCTCATGCATATTTTCATACTTAAATTACATCTGGGTATATATAAAAATGATACCTACTGTTGGCTAGCTGGGAAAGCTGCATGCAGCCTGGTGGCTCATGGGTTGTTATGAGTTGAAATGACTTTGAACATGAATTATTGTATGATGTGCTGCCAGAAGTCAGCCATGCTTTCTAAAAGGCGATTGAGAAGGGCATTTTGGCCCAAAATCTAATGCCCTTCAAAGCTATGTGTTTGTGTGTGTGTGTGTGTGTTTTTAAGTTATATAGTCCTTTTAAATAGAAAGAAAGAAAGAAAAAAAAAAGCCACCCCCTTACTGAGGGATAGGCTGTAATGTAGCTCTTGCTGCTGTTGGTATGACAGCCCCTCCTTAGTAGTCTAATCATTTGGGCTGGAGCACAAGCCAGGCCATTGGGACTGACTGTGGGCTCTAGGACTCTCCTGAGAGTGATCATACCTCGATAGTTTAACCTCAGAGATGTCGTCTTTGCTCATTGTCCTTTTTTTATCTTCATATTTTCTGCTTTGTGGCTGAAGACGAGGTGAAATTACCTTCCGAGAAGTACTCTAGTTCATGAAATTTAATGACATTCATGGTAATAGGGATAGCTGTTATGATTTGTCTGTTTCATATGGCTATGAATATAAAGTATTAATTAGATATATTTGAATATTATTCTAACAGATATTATGACTGATTCAACAGCTTTTCTGTTCTCCTAATTTTAGTAGCCTATGGATCTGGAGGAGTGACCCAGCTCTGGGGAATGGGACTTGGTTAATCTAAATTTAGGATAGGCTTTGATTAATTTAATCTTGCTAACTGACTAGGCAGTGATTGGTTCAGGAACTTAGCCAGAGTGTGACATGCCGTGGTTATAAACCCAACAATGAGACTTGAAGGAAAGGTCCCTGGAGGCTTTGGGGAAACAGTTCTTCGCTTTTAAGAAAGAGACACAGGAAGATGATCTCTTTTCTTCTCGGTATTGCTGTTGTGGTCAGGAACTGCTATCAGTCAGAGGATGCAGTTGATACTCCCAGGAGGGGAGAGCCAAAGGAGATGCAGAGAAATGAGCCGGAACTACTGGATCGAGCCATCTCCAAGCCCCAACTCACCACCGGGCTTGTTATATGAGTCAACAAATTACTTTAAGATAGTTTGATTTGCAGTTTCTGTTGCAGCAGAAAGCATCCTAATTGATATAATTGTCTTATTATTCTTATGAGTGGCTATTTTTTTAATCTTGGAGTAGCCTTAGAAAGTTATTTTTCCTTTAAAAAAGTTTCCATATATATATATATATATATATATATATATATATATATATATATATATATGTGTGTGTGTGTGTGTGTGTGTGTGTGTGTGTGTGTGTATTATAATATAAATGTCTACGATATATTCTACTGATATTATTGTCAAACTAAGTGCAATATAAAGATCTTCATTTTTTTACTGTAATAACATTTCTCAGCATCTTTCCTCTTGTTACGGTAGTATACTAAGAACACTTTGGACTTCCATGGTTTTCCTAGCTCTCTCCACACTTAGAATTTAACCTTTCTGCAGTGTTGTAAGCATATTTAACCTTTCACTTAGTATCTACTGTATGCATGTTTCTCTGTGCAACCTGGCTGGCAGAGAGGATGGCGCTTTTGCTTGATGTGAGACCATTTCAGAGCATGTTAAGCCAAATGACAGGGTTGAATTACTGGCCAAAGGCAGGCCTGGGAGAAGTGATGGACACGGCTGAGTAGACAGCTGAGGAAGGAGGGAGGGAGAGAGGAACCGCATGGGTGAAGAAGCATCCTCAGAGAAGGCTGCCCAGTGAGGTGGCCACGCACACACTGAGGAAAGGATGGGTGCAGGCCCCTGAGAGGAGCAGAGGCTAAGGGAGGGCAGCTCGGAGGCAGTGTTGGGAGAGCAGTGTATCCAGTGGAATAGCTGTGTTGCCAGGCTGAGGAAGCTGGAAGTTGGGTCCACAGCCTCTTAAATAGTGAGGTGGCATTAACTCAGGGATTGCTGAAAGTGACTCTTAGTGTGTCGGGCAGGGGAGTGAGACCAGGGAGAGGTGGGCGCAGCTTCCTGGGAAGCTATTATTATAATCCGTGCGTGACGTGACAAGATCTGCAGGATAATAGAATCTGGATGAGTAATATCTTACACTTATCTTGAGTTTTAGAGTTTCCACAGCACAGTCATACACATCATCTAATTTACCTGTTAGATCCTCTCAATCTCTTTTGAGGATGAGGAGGATATAGAGATTCAGAGCAATTAATCAACCTCCGAAAAGTTGTTAATGACAGGCCCTAACCGACAGTCTGGCTCTTTTAACCTCCAGGTTCTGTGCTTTTCAATAATAAACAACATTTTCCATTTTTAGTGGAATTCAAGTTGTGTTGATTTGACTGTGCTCTCCAGCATTTGTCTGTCAACTGGCTCCCGACAGCCGCATAAACAAAAGCTAAATACCAGTTCACAACTCTTACAGTCTGCTGAATAGTGAAAAGATGGTTAAGTTTCCCAGATAATGGTAAAACCATCTCAGATAACAGAAAGGTAATCCTTCTAACAAATACAAAAAACAAAAGGCTAGGTCAGTAGAAAGTTTCCTAAATGTTTTAAATGAATGGGGTGTAACTGAGACTTAGGGGAGGTTCAAAATGGCTTTGTTGAATGAAGGTGGAAAAGTTGCGCCTGACTCCCAACTACAGGCAAAAACAACATTGGAAGTTACCATCTCAGTGAGCCAGAATAAAGAAAGTATTCATATGAACAGGCATTTGATACACATCATCTCATTTAAACTGTGAATGAACTATTAAATGATGGAATGTTGATAGTAGCTTTCCAATTGAGAAAGTTAATTTTCCAGCTATACAATCTATATTTTAAAAGTCATGTGTTTTTTCTTTTTTCTTTTTTATTATGGTTTAAACACACACACACACACACACACACACACACACACACACACAATTTATCATTTTAACCATATTTGTAAGTGTATAGTTCAGTAGTGTACAGGACAGTAAATATAGTCACATTATTGTCAAACAAGTCTTTAGAGAGTTTTTATCTTTTGCAAATCCTGACATATGCCCATTGAACAGCTACTCTCTTTCCTCCCTCTCTGTGTTGCCTGGGAACTACCACCCTATTTTCTGTCTCTATGAATTTGGAAAATTATGAATTTCTTAAAATGTTAATATCAAGAAACATTAACTGAATACCTTTTGGGCACTGTTCTTAATGTCTGGACCAAAAACAAAAAACAACCTATAAAGGATAGCTGAGAATTCCTAGAGGGTCTTTGTTACACTGAACTCAGAAATGTATGAAAAGATAAATCACAATGCGTATTAAATGTGAAATGGATGAGGCCACAGTAAAATCTATGTAATGCTAACAATAATAGTATGCGGTTTTGATAAGTGTCGCTCCTGCCACTGCTGACCCTGCAATAGTGAGGTATCCGGAGGAAACATGAGCCAGATAACCGGGGATATTGGGTCTCAGATTGTACTTGCTAACAGTAACAGTGGTTATTAGTGAGGGAAGCAAATATTGAGAAGCTGCCCTACTATAATAGATTAGTTTGGGTGTGATAGTTATCTATTTCAAGATACACAAGAACACCTAAAGCGGGTCTGGGGGTAGGGGTGGGGGGGGGGGGGAAGTGCCACTCGAAGAAGGGGAAAACCCACTCGGTTTAAGCCTTGGTATTATATGAAGCTGGAGCTGGCAAGCAGCCTTTTGGGGTGCTCTCAATGTTGATTTATAGAAATGTTGTGGTAACATAGCCATTGAGGGCTCTCCCCACCGGCTAGATAACTACAGTTAATATTTAATTTAATTTAAGAGGATACATAATTGACATGTGTGCTTTTTAAATGTCTTGGAAACCACTTTACATGGTTCAGTATAGAATGCAAAAGAATAGAAAATTTTAAAATAAAGCTTGAGTAGCCCGATAATGAGAGTTCAGCAAACTGCAACCGAGTTGTATTCACTAACAGGTCCCATTAGAGAAAGAGTGGCAGCTTGTTCCTGACAAAGCATGCCGATAATCATCCAGGACTTTGTGGTGATTTGTAGTTGAAACTGCTAAATAAGTATTGAGCTGCCATAGTGGGGAAGAAATAAGGGGTTTTTGTTGTTGTCTTTTAAAGTTTCCCAAGTAATTCGAAAGTGCAGCCAGGGTTAAAACTATTTTAGTTATTTCGGCTCTAGCCAGTAAGATGTGGGGAACATTTATTAAAATGTATGTAAAATACTTCTTAACTGTATAAAATAAATATACAGGCTTTCCCATCCCTGCCCTCAGACAAGGTTTTTATTTGTTTGTCTTGGGGTTTTTGTTTTGCTTTTTGCTTAGCCAGTTGCAGATTCTAAAAACACAACTGGAAGGAGGAGATGAGGAAGACGTTGTGAAGAGGTCCCATGGCTGATTCTAGGGACAGACCGAGCATGGGGTGGGGTGGGATATGAAATGTTGTTTATATATATTTCAGAAAGTAGAAAATAAGGCATGTTCTCAATCCAAATTATGTAACTTTGAGGAATGTCATCTATTTATCCTATATATCCTATATATGCGTAGGGACCCTACGCATGCACAAATTTCGTGCATCAGGCCTCTATGTGATAAAATAATGACACAAATAAAACAGCATTTAACATGTGTAGGAATTCTTTGCAGAGTAGTTCCTCAGCCTGTATTCAGAGGAAACATACCATTCACACCCTCTTCTGTGTTCACATTTTCCAGGGCGTTGGAGAATTTTTTTTTTTTTTCAATAGAAATCTTTGTTCTTTTTCTAATAAGACTTGGATTACATTTGAAGAAATTTAGCATGTCTTTCTTTCTTTTTCTGGCAGGAATTGATTTTAAAATCAGAACGATAGAACTTGATGGAAAGAAAATTAAGCTTCAGATATGGTAAGTTAATATATATATATATATATATATATATATACACACTATATATACACATAAGAGTTTCTACTTTAGTTAGGAATTGAATGTGAGAATTAAATATGCATTGTGATAAGTGAGAGCTATTCTGTGATAGCTAAAACATCCTTTCTTTGTCAGAACCAGGGGGAAATGGGTAAGCATTCAAAGGTCTCTCCACCAAGAGTGGGAAGGTAAGGAATGATATTCTCACTAACCCACAGCCAGAGAGATCTGAGAACTCATTCTTCCCAAATGCTAATTTTACCGGGGAGGAAACTAAATTCTAGAGTGTACGTTACCTCTTCACTGTAGTTGTTGCAGCTGTGAAATCAGATAAAGCTTAGTAGTCAAGTGGTAGGAACCCTAAACAGGAAGTGCAGACCGAGGTTCTTGCCAGGACTACCTCTAAATTGAGGACATGGGGCCAGTTGCTTCCCTTCTTAGGGCCTACTTTCCTTCGTTTGTAAACTGACTGATTCAACTGATGGTGTCTGAGTTCCCCTCCAGCTCTGATATTTTATCATTTATTTGTATATGTCTTCTCATTAAATTTAAAAAAATGAGGAACACTAGACTAGCAATAGGGAGAAAAAGGGCATACTTTTCATCCCTCATGCTGTAATATGCAAGGCAAAGATCTCCTTAAAGACCACTCAAATCTGGTTGGTTTATTCCTGAAGAATCTCTCAAACTACAGTGAATAAATATGGTTCTTCCAGATTGCCAGGTTGAATATTTTATACTTGAAGTCAGGAATTCCTCATAGATTTATTTTTTTAACCTCCTATAAGCTGGTTGAACTTCTTTCAGTAAGGGCCTTCCATGGTGAGCCATATAGAATTGGAGCCTTGGGAAAGGTTCTTGGTGTGCACTGGTCTATTGTGTGATATGACAGTAGCAGACATAGCTCAGAAATTGAGAGCTCCACAGACTATACAGGGGAAACTAGTAACGCAGTATATATGAACTTAGGTTTTAGGCTGATTTTCATCCTTGAATCTCAGGATGGGAATAGAATGAGAACACTGTGCTGAAATATACTAGCACCTCTTTTACAAAGGAGGAAACTAGGGTTCAGTGTGGTTAGTGATAAAGCTCCGACGACAACCCGGATCTCCGGAGCATCGTGTCAGTTCCATAATATTAGCGTTGCAGTTCCCAGGACCTGTCATTGGAAAACATTGTGAAGGTTGCCACAGGCTACCTTTTCATCTATCGGTATTTAGTAAGAAGCCAAATATTTTAAACATATAACACAGTGTTTTAGGGAGAAAGTAAAGAGAATTTCTGATTCTGTGCTTATGGTCCTGATCATCACAATAGGGAGTGTTTCTAGGCGCCTGTGGGTGATCAATGAATTAGAGTTTAATATAACATCAGGGTACTGCTTATAGATTCTCTCAGTGAATGGTCTCTATTTAGTCTTCACAACCTACACTTACTATGGAAGGGTTTTCCCGCCAGCCTCACTGCAGAGCTGGTTCTAAATCATTTAGTGTGTTAGAATCAAGAATATGTTGGTCTGCTCAAAGATGCTTGGCTTGTATTTTCCTTATGACTTCTTTGCCATGTGCCAAACAAGTGCCCTTTATAGGTATTCTGATCAGTGACAGAAGGGTTAGATAAGATGACTGAGGTGAGGCCTGGCCCTGCACTAAACAGCCGAGATGTCGGTGACTTGAGTCTCATTTAAGGGTATGAGCTGGTTAATGGCAGAACTGGGACCATAGCCCACCCCGTCCCATTCCTTCTACTGCAGAATAAAGATGCTGGTAATCACACACACTGGGCTGTAGTGGGCATCATCTGAGACTATCTTCTAAGATTTACATAAATATTAAGGGATTTTATTAATGTTTTTAGTTTATTATATTTCCCTTGGGCCTTAATCCCTTGTTTTGGTTTGGTATGCATTAGATTTCTAGTGTATTTTCACAAGTGCCTCTGTCTTCCCTACAGTTAAATTGTACAGTTTAGTTTGTCTTAGTAGCACAGGGAGTGAATTAATTCTGCTGGTAAGTAGCAAATGTAGGAGTATTGACTTTCCCAGATACCAAGTAAATTTGATCTGCTTTATAGGGACTTACTTCAATAAATGTAATTGGAAACATTTGTGTGTTTTTTAGAATGTATTCTAATGGTACCCATCAGCTAAAAAGCAAGACTATATGAAAGCTTATGTAACTTTGCAATGTTGTTCATATTGGAAAGTCTTTGGAAACATTGTCAACCATTATGTATCAAACTCCAGGTTCTCGTTTAATTATGGGTTCCATTGCCGAGAAAGTTCTCGAAGAGACCCATTTTAGTGTGCTTGGCTGAGCAGAACTTACACAGTAGTGAGTCCAGCCCAGTTGCTTTCTTTGTTCAGAAATCAGACTTTCACTCAAGAGAGCAAAATGCCTTAATCATTAGGCATTTATTAAAAACGATTATAATTACCTCTAGGAGTCCAAGAATATAGAACTGTTCTGTTCTCCCCAATATGTATCTGACTAATTCAGCGTGCCAGTTCCTAGCAGGGCCTGGGTTTCCCTGTTGCTGCTTTTATCATCAAAGTCCAAGTTCTTCGCACAAGTCATTGTGAGCTCTTGACAGGCTCCCGTGGCCACCACCGCCTCCAGCTCACAGACACACACAGGCTCCCTTTGTCTCCTATTCCCCTCCCCTGAAACCACTGCGTTTGTGAGCAGACCAGAATGATCTCTCCTCGGTGTTGCTGGCGATGTCTTTTAAAACCGCTCTCTGTTTTGTTTAAAATTTTAGGGACACAGCAGGCCAGGAAAGATTTCGAACCATCACGACAGCATACTACAGAGGAGCCATGGTGAGTGTGTTTGGGGGTTTTGCAACTCTTCAGGTGAAAGTAAAACATGAATATTCACTTGTCAAGTTTATAGGATTCAAGCTAAAGTCTAATACAGGGGGGGAAATATTGTTTTTATTGATTTCAGAGAGGAAGGGAGAGGGAGAGAGAGAAACATCAACAGTGGGAAAGAATCATTGATTGGCTGCCTCCTGCATGCCTCCTACTGGGGATCAAGCCCGCAACCTGGGCATGTGCCCTGGACCAGAATCAAACCTGGGGCCCCTCAGTCCACAGCCCGATGCTCTATCCACTGAGCCCAACCAGCCAGGGCGGAAAAATAGATTTTTTGATGTGAAAAAATGTTTTCTGTTTAGTAACTGTATATTTTGCCATTAGTCTTTGTAATATTAATAGGTCATTGGCTTGTAGGTGTTTTAGAACTCCTACAAACATCCTGAGTGATTGTGTTTTTGTGATTTTTCCTTTTGTTAATACCTTTGCCACATCTTAGCAAGCCACAAGCTTTGTGACTAAGTATTCATTCCTCTCATCATTCGGCCTTGCCCTATCATTCCTTACCTCTCACCAGGTACCTCCATCCACTCCTAATGGCTTAGCTCTCTGGATGCTCCTCCACCAGTGTTTTGCCAGCTGGCCAGGAAGTAGCTGAATGATATTTGACTCTTTGAGGTTTAGAATCTGATGAATCTTAACTACCAAGTCCTTCTTTTGCTACATAGTCTTATCCTTGTTATCATAACCTCTCCCCTTGGCTAATTTCCATCCTAAGGCCTCATCTATACAACCCATCATAATGCTTGTTGGGCTCAGAGCAGATTCTGTGTGTTCCTGGAAGTACAGTGGTGAATAAGGCAGCTTAGAAGCAGAGCTATACTGACCAGGGCTTTCCTTCTGGCTTTTAGGCCTAATCCAAGCACTAGTTGGAGTTTGAATTTTGATGAAACTCTGTCCTCAGAGAGTCTTAGAAGGCCGAGTAATTGAGATCATGAAGCTCAACCTAGACAGACTTTGGGGTACCAGCTCATTGTCTAAAAGACTTGTGTTCCTAGGAGTAGTTAGGGTGACAGCTGTAGGGGCGAGAGCTGTCCCCTTTTTTAGGAAGATGTGATAGGAATCCACGGATCCCTTTCTTATCATGCTGCCCTCCATTCCACATCCACTGCTACTCACCCTCCATTTGAGTACCAGTAATACATCCCCACAGAAATATTGAGGATTCCTTTCCAAAGCTTTATCACCTTGACACTGTACACCACTAAGCACTTTATAGGTATGTATTCCTCACACTTCACCATATAATACTTTCATGATTTTGTAAGATCATCATTTTAAGGAAGAGTTGTGAGCTACTCTCTATTTTGCTTAGATTATAATCAAAGGGAAGGGACTTATCTTGTCCTGCCAGGAAGAAATTTGTTTGTTGTTTGTTTTCCCCAGGAAGGATTTTAGGAATAAGTAAGAACAGTTAGCAGCAGTGATTTAAAATAGTTTACAGGTAATTTTGATTATACATACAAGCTTTTCTATTGGCCAACTTGTTCTTTTCAATGAGAGATGCTTGTTTTCACCAGAGAGTGGGCAGGAACTCTTGGAGTGTGGAGCTCTAGTTCCTTGGATGTCTAACTCTAGTTCATGGTATGAGGAAAGAGGGCATTGAAATGCGTTATTTAATTTAGATTTGAGGATTGCCTGGCTTTTTCATTTATCTGTTGCCTAGTCTTTCTTCACATTACTTCAAATAATTAGAAATTGTTGCTATTCTCAGATAGAATTGTCTTTTCCACTTTTTGAAGGTAGGGCTTTTTGTCTTTTTGTTCTGCTGTAATGCCAGTGCCTGAAACATAGTAGATTCTCTGTAAATGCTTGCTGAGGGGGTGAACCAGTGGGAAATTTCAGACCAGAAACAATGTTAGATAAATCTTCAGGGAATTCTGCTGTGCTGAGTGCTGATCTTGCAGGTCATCTGTTGCAGTGGCATGTGGGGCCATCATGTTCCTGTGGGGGCATGATTTCATTTCAGCAAGTGGTGGTCCTGGCAGGTCTAGTGTGGTTGGTTTAAGTATGCAGCATGTTGATAAGCACTGCATCGGAATCTGCCACCATCAGAGATTTTAAACTATTGGTCTATTTCAAACTATTCAGCAACATTTGTAGGTTTAGCAGTAGCCCTGATGGACAATTGGACTTTTGGAGAAAAGGACCGTGTTATTGCATTGTCAACACTTCTCATAGACGAACACTGTCCTAAGAACTTAAGGAAACTGTTATTATTATAAGTATACTAGAGATCCGGTGCACAAATTCATGCACAGATGGGATCCCTTGGGGTGGCCTGCAGGGATCAGGCCCCAGGTCACACCCCAGGTCATGCCTCCAGCCTTACAGTCCCACAGCCCCACCTGGCACCCCGCCATGGCCTGGTGCTGTCCCCTCACCTGCTCCACCATCCCACCTGCAGGGTGATTGATCGGGGCCAAGGCTCTGTCAGTGCCTGGGAGACAGGCAGCAGTCCCGCCCCACCCCGCCCCCCTCCACCACTGGTCGCCATCTGCGGAGCAATCAGCAGGGCATTGGGCTCCTGCTTACACCCATCTTGGCCTGGCACCACCCACTCACCCGCTCTACCATCCTACTGCATTCCTGCTCTCATTGGGGCTTCTCGGGGCCGGCAGCACCTCCATTGCCACCCACTGCCAGCACCGCTGCTCCGACACCTGCCACATTCCACGCCACCCCCTGGTGGTCAGCACACATTATAGTGAGCACTTGCACTCTAGTCTCTTGGTCAAATGATGGCCCAGGGGACAATTTGCATGTTCGGCTTTTATTATATAGGATATCAGATACATAAAGTTTTAACTAGTACATTTGAGTTTGTATTTCCAACTGATTCATAATGCCAGTTTGCTTACATAAGAAATAGCCAAAGGGTTTCTGCTATTGAAACCAAAGATATTAACTAGAAATAGCTAGCTGTCATTACTGAGTCCTCACTGTGTCCTGGGTTCTAGGTTAAGTACTTTATACATAATATCTCAGTAGATACGCAAAAGAATCCAGTCTGGAAAACATGCTGTCCTCATTTTACAAATGAGAAATGGAGACTGGGGATAAAATAACATCTCTGGGATCTCTGAGGAGATGTCTCTGATCAGAGCCTGTTTCTTTAACCACTTACACCGTGTTCACACTTCCCGTGCTAACCATCTAGAGTGCCACCGGCAGACACAGGCAGTGAAGATCAAGGTCGCCCACATAGCCCAAAGGGTCATAGAGTGATGGCAATTATTTGGTTAATGTTAATATTATAGGCAGCTGAATACTTTGAATCAGGAATTATTCTGTTCCATTTTGAGGTGGGTTTTTTTTTTTTTTGTGGTAAAATATACATAACATAAAATTGACCATTTAAGTATATAATTCTCCACTTCCATTTAAAAAAATTATTTACATTAACAATGATAAAATCTTCTTTACTATCAATATATATCCAAGTGAAATATTTGCATTCTAGGCTGGGAGGAGAGAGGGTAGAGGATATTACTGTTTGCTATTTAAATAATAATGTATATTTTTCTGGTTATCAAAAGGTTAGATGTAATATAGGAAACTTTGAAAATCACAAGAAATTATTCAACATTCTACCTCCCTGAGATAGCTTCTGTTAAAATTTCATTGTTTCCTGGGTTCTTTTATCTTTGTGTATATGTGTGTTTTATATGATTTATTTTTGTATTTATTTACCAAGTTGGAAACCAGACCAGAAGCACTTTGCATACCATGTTAAGAAATTTTAGTTTAATTATGAATCCAGTGGAGAGGTCTCAATAAAGTGGTATCTCTAGTGTCCTTATGCAGAATGGATTAGAGGTGATTAAGAATGAAAGCAGAGATACCAATGAAAGACTCTGATAGTAATCCAGGTAAAAGTCTATTGCTGAGAATATAATAAGTGCCACTCATGTGTGTGAGGCAGGGGTGTCATATTCGGGAACCTTTGAGGTTGTTGTACCTGCAGGACCAGCTGACTCTGAGAGAGTACTCACAAGGGTCTGCTTGGGCTGGCTGGCGGGATTATGTCACCCTTCATCAAAACGAGAGCACAAGAAAGAAGGGAAATTTGGAAGGGATGAAGACAACCTCGTGTTTTACTTAGTTGAGTTTTCAGAGTGACCACACAGGACATCTGAGAAATGATGCCCAGTTAGTGGTCTCCAAGTCACATCTGACCTCTATTTGTCTGTCTCTTTGGCTACATTTTTATGCTCTCCAATCGGATCTGCGCACTGACTTTCTTTCACTCAGTCCGGTGGGTGCTGGGCCTTCCTGGACAGCAAGATATTTATAACGTTTCTCCTATGAGCCAGGCACTGTGGTCTTTCCCTCTCCAGCCCAGCCTCACACCTTTGACCAGTCCTCAGACCTTGGCTTTAATGTCATTTTCTCAGGGAAGACTTCCCTAACCACCCCAGCCCATCAACAGATTAGATTAGCATTTGTACTGAGCTCCTAGTACTTCGTAGCAATGATCAAAATTATAATTATTTGCCTAATTATTGGGTTATTGTTTTCATGAGAGGAAGAGGCCTTGTCTATCTTGTTTACTGTTGGTAATACTTAGTGTAGTATCAGGCACATTATAGAATCTACTAAATATTTGGTGAATGGGTGGGTCTAATCAGAAGTGTGGTCTGTGATATAGATTTTGGAATATTAGCATACAGGTATCAGTTGAAACACTTACTAGTAGAAGATAAACTCTTTAGAAACACCAGCCATTGGGTCTTTTAAAATATGGTGACAATGCCTTTCATTAAACTTGCGTAATAAATTTATTATATTTTAAATGCCTATGATTTACTTAGGCAGATAGTGACATTTAAAATATATATATATTTTATTGATTTTTCACAGAGAGGAAAAGAGAGGGATAGAGAGCCAGAAACATTGATGAGAGAGAATTATCAATCAGCTGCTTCCTGCACACCCCCACTGGGGATGTGCCCGCAACCAAGGTACATGCCCTTGACCTGAATTGAACCTGGGACCTTTCAGTCCACAGGCCGACGCTCTATCCACTGAGCCAAACTGGTCTCGGCAGATAGTGACATTTTGATCAGCCTATGTAAAAAGACATAATTTTAAAGTGGTATGGTTATAATCTAAGCATAGGAGTAAGAAGCAAGGCAATTTCTACTTGAATAAAATAGTACACAACAGAAGTGATTGCCTCTTTCTCTCAGTGCTGTCTCAGTTTTAACTTAAACACTCTCTCAGCTCCAGTTTAGTGCTGATTCTTATCACAGGAGGTCAGGTAGAAAGGGTGTATCATCTTCACCATAATCACTAATTCATTAAAGGTTAACAGTGAAAATGTTAAGAGAGTATTTAATTACCTGGTGAGGCAATGGAAGAATTTATTTATTTTTGCTTCTCCATACTTTAAAATATTATGAAATCTATACATATAAAAGCCAAGCAACCGGAACGCCGGAATGACCAGAACAACTGGAACAACCAGTCACTATAGCGAACACTGCTGCAGCCAACTGGCCTGATCAGAGCCCCTATTGGTGCCCCCCAACCTCCTGCAGCCCCTCCCCCTGGCCAGCCCGGATCCCAATCACTCCCCCCCCCATTTGGGCAGGACCAGCCAGCAAACCACCCATGGCCTCTCTCCACAGCCGGCCCTGCCCCTAATTTCTCTCCACCATCATTGGGGGCAGGGCCAGCTGGCCAAGCTCCTATGGCCCCTCCGCCCCCCAGTAGCCCAGCCCCAATCATTTCCCCATGTCCCCTTCCCCCCACCATCCCTGCCTGATTGGCCCCCATCAGGGTGGGCCAGCTGGACCCCACTCATGCACGGATTTGTGCGCACGAGGCCTCTAGTATTTTATAAAGACCAAAAAAGCCACAAACAAAAGCTTTCTGGAGGGGAGGAATACATTTACATTATATTTTATAACTTTAAATATATATACTAAATGAAGATCTGTTTTTCTCTTATAGGGAATCATGCTGGTCTATGACATCACAAATGAAAAGTCCTTCGACAATATTAAAAATTGGATAAGAAACATTGAAGAGGTATATATGGAAAGAGAATGATGGTATTGGAGATCACCATGATGATACTGGAATGATGATACTGCTGGTGCTTATAAAGGCTTCCAGTCTCTGGAAGAGGCAGTTGAGCTGCTAAGAAGTAGGGCAGGGGCAGGGCAGGCCCTCGCTTAATGGATGGAGGGCAGATCTCCATCTCCAGTCAGACTGCCCTGCTGGGTATGGATGGGGACGGATGCAGAGGAAGGAGCAGTTTCACAGAATTTTAAACTTGGGCCAGATCTTGGAAGTAATTTAATCTGAGACCCCATTTTGCACAAGAGAAAACCGAGGCCAGAAAGAAGTGACTTGCTTACGCTAATATAGCTTTTAAAAAGGAGAGCCAGGATTAAAACATCTGATTCCTGGGTTCTATCTGTTCCATCATCTGATTGACTGGCAAAAGTAAATTTTTATTCCAGAAACTTATCATTTTGCCCTTCCAACAGTTTTTCCATCCTCAATATTTGAAGTTTGGTTTAATTCTATATTGATTAGCATTAAGATATTATATTTTTAACATTTCAAAAAGAAATCTGACTCCGAATCCAGAATACCTTCTCCATTGGCTCACTCAGGACCATTTTTTTTTCTTCTTTGATACAAACTAATACTTGGAAGTTTCGTTGTTAGCTAACCATAAGTTTTATTTCTGTTTGTTCATGTACCAAAATACATGAGAATAACTGTGAGCCTTTGCGAAGAAAGTTTGCATAGCCTCTTATACAATAGTTTTCCCCCTCCTCCCATCTTTTAAAATTGCTCTGAATCATGTCCTGTGTCCAGTGAAAGATGATTAGTCTAATTATTAAATTCCTGGGTATGTTTCTGATAGGTTAAGATTTATCTATTGAATAACTGTCCTTTTCAGGCTGTTTTTATAACTTTCTGTTTTCTTCCTACAGCATGCCTCTTTAGACGTGGAAAGAATGATCCTGGGTAACAAATGCGATATGAATGACAAAAGACAAGTGTCAAAAGAAAGAGGGGAGAAGGTAATTTTGAACCGAATGCACAAAAATTCAAATCTACTCACATTCAGCATTTATCTTTTTAGTATAATTATTGATTTAAGTGTTTAAAATATCTATATTTTAATTCTTTAAAAATAACAAAGAGATGTAATCCTTCCTTGAATGGTACGAATTAGTATTCGAGATCCAACTCTATATACTGTGTAGTCATGACTCATTCTTAAAGAATTTGTTCTTTTCTGGGAGATACAAATTGGTTCTTTTTCAGATTCCTGCAGCTTCAAGTTCAGGCTTTCTTCCATGTCCATAAGTTAAAGTAATTTATTCCCTTTGGAAAAAAATTAAGATAGGTGAAGTTCAACAGTAATTATTCTCCAATTCATTTTTTAAAGAATATTGTACTGCACTTTAAATTTAGGTCATTATGGACAAACTCCTTATAACTCATCAAGCTGTTGATTTCATTTATTAGTCATTTATACGCATTTCTATGTTTTGTGTCATGCAAAGCAAAGGAGTTTATTATATATACATGTTTATTTCTGTTTACTAAATTGATGTAGAAGCTTCAATTTTTAAGTCTGGTAATTTTGTTTTAGCCGTGTGTGTGTGTGTGTGTGTGTGTGTGTGTGTGTGTTCTCAATCTGAAACTTTTTTTCCCTGAAAACATTCTCTTAATCTTGTTGTTATAAATGAACTGGGAACTCTTTGGGAGTAGATGGGAATGTGGAATAGTTCACATTTGTCACAATCAATAGAAACCAAAGCAATGAATACTTAGCATTTTAAGCTTTTCTGTTAAGCACCGATTTATTTTTTTAAAAAATAATGAAAAATCAGTGTATTCGCTGTTGGAGAACTATACTTTCAGAGCAGACAAAAGGGGTGAATGAATCCCAAATTAATGGTAGGGGATGAGTGTCTGTCACAGTTTTTCTTGTAAGTATAGAGAACTAGAAGTATAACAGGAAAAAAAGAGACATACTGTACTTAAATTGTGAATGGGAGTGGTGCCATGTTGCTTATGATGGTTAAGTTAGATCTCAATTCAAACTCAGAAGGAAGCGAAGAGATTTGAGAACCACAAGAGTTCTGAACTAGATACTCTATCTTTGGGGCTTGAAAACCCTAGAAAATGTAAATGTTTTATATGTTCAAATAACTTGCACTATATTTAAGTGTTTCTGTTTGCCTTTCAGTTAGCAATTGACTATGGGATTAAATTCTTGGAGACAAGTGCAAAATCCAGTACAAATGTAGAAGAGGTAAGAAAGAAAGACCGGTTTGGTGCCTTGTTAGACAGTAGCATTGGTGCTAATCTGCTGATGTCCAAGCGATTCTCAAAGCCTTGTTACTTTCTGACTTAGTGACGCCTGTGTGAACTCCCCCTCCATGTTGTGAACTGCTGTGCTTTCTTGTGGATCTGGTTGTTGAATTTCTAGCACCCAACCTCCACATAGAATATATAGGGTGTACACACTTTGAGTATTATTTATTAATATATAGTTCCTTTAAAAAATCCACAGAAGTGAGTAATGTTTTCTGTCATTGCCTGTTTCAGACTAATGACTGATTCTAGTCCAGGCACTGCTGATAATGCAAAGTAAAGGAATCGCAAACATCAAGAATCATTTTGATTGTATTTGTGTGCCCTTAATTTGTTGCTTGCTTTGGACTGTAAACTTTTATCTTTTATGTACCCATATAAAAAAGGCTAGTGGGTAAATTTGCTTTGTTCAAAGCTTGCTTATTATTTCCTGAAAAGAAGTGAAAATTAAGTGAGTTATCAGCTGTTCAAGTGTGTATATGTATTTTTGGGACACCCTGCACTCAGATACAGATGTGAATATAAGATTCACTGAACAGAAGATAGATGCTCAGTTTAAGGTCACTTCTGTCCTGTTTGGGAAGCTGGAACTCCTGCACTAGCTGACAAAATGCATGTCTTCCTCTGCTCATTTATCATTCATGTCATACTATAGTGGCCTATAGCAGGCGAGTCTTAATTACTTTCCTGTCAAGAAAGAGAGAGAGAGAGAGAGAGAGAGAGAGAGAGAGAGAGAGAGAGAGAGAATATTAAACTTAGCTTATTAAACAGATTCCCTTAATGTACAGTTTAAATAGATTAACATGATATATATGATATAGTAATCTGATGGCATTTGGTAGAAGTAAGAAAGTGTGTTTACCAAAGAGTACTTTAATAAAATTTATTAATAAAGTTAACTGTTAAAGAAAATCTAACCACCTGAAGTCTTTTAAGAATAGATTTTCTTTACCAAGGGAAGAATTTTTTATAATATTTTTGTTGTTGTTGTTAATCCTCACCTGAGGATATTTTTCCACTGATTTTTAGAGAGAATGGAAGGGGAGGGGAGAGAGAAAAAGGGAGAAACATTCATGTGAGAGAGAGACATCAATTGATTGCCTCACAAACATACACTGACTGGGCCGGGGAACAAACCTGCAACCTGGGTACGTGCCCTTGAATTGATCCCGAGACCATTCAGTCAGCAGGCTGACACTCCAACCATTGAGCAATACCCGCCCTGGTGACAATATTTTCTGTGTAAAAATATTTTAAAAACTGATCATAAAAATATTACATGTAATATGTTTTAATATAGTAATTCACTTAATAATATTGTTGATTTAATAAACATTTAATTTCTTAGGCTACTCACTGATCACCATATCTTTCATCATAGCTAAAAATTGAGGTTTAAATGACTATTGGAAAGTGGACAATGATCATAATTTTTTTTTAAGTAACTAAAACTCATATTCACGTTGGCTAATGGGTGTGAGGAAACAGGAAGTCTCTGCTGATTTATTTAGATGAGCATGGATAAGCAGAAAAATGCTTCCTCCTGCTTGCCACAAAAGGATTTCCTTCCATCAGAAAGAGGGGAACCTCTTAAGTCCGCTCTAACGGCGCAGGAAAGCTTGCTCACTGAGCTGGCCCACCCATGGTTTCTCTCGCAGAATGAAGGCAGTACCTGGCTTCCTGGAGTAGCTGAGGTCTCCGTTAGCACCTGTGCCCTGGTCACCCCTGTGGCTTAGAGAGAGCACTGAACTATGGAAGTGTGGAGCTGGGTGCTCCCCAGTTGCTTAATCTGGCCCGGTATTCTGCAGGAAGTGAGCAGTTCCCCAAAGCTCTAATTTAGTGTAGTTAGTTAGCCTCATAAAAACTGGGATGGGTTTATTTAGAAATTTAGCCTTAGTAATAGCTAAGTATTGTTTCTGTTTGACTGGACTGGAAATGATTCTTTTGCTAAATATTTTGGGGGGCATCAAGTATGGTTGGGAACAAAGTGACTGACATAACAGTGGATTTAGCATGGACACAACTGAAGAAACTTTAAGAGTCTTGGCTCCCTAGAAACAAAGTGGGGATGATAGGGTTAAAAAATGTTTGGATCACAAGATACTAAGCATAAAATGTCACTAAGATGAATCAGATTTGTCCTACCTGCATTTGAACTGATTTCCATGGTGGGGGATTGAACTGAGTTGTAGGCACTGTTGGGATTTTGGAATGTTACGATTATATAAGGTATAAGAGTGAAAGTGATTTCAAAGAAAACATTGGCAATAAAAGACAGATTTTTGTAAAAATATATTTTAGAGCTACAGGGTAAAACATTTGTTCATTCACTGATTAAACAGATATTCAGCATCTTCTGGATCAGGCCCCATGCCCTGCTCTGGGTGTGCAGGGGTGGCTTAGACAGAGCTTCTGCCCCCCAGGTGCTGTGGGTGCACTGAAATAACCAAAAACCTGCCATATTGGGAAGTTGGGCCAGATATTATGTACAGAAAATAGTTGACAAATGAATGACAGATAACATTGGAAAATGTGTGTGATGTAATTGAAAAATCTATAATAATACAAGTGTAATATGCTAACTAGACTGGACAGTTGAATGACCTTCGGGACGTCATTCTGGATGAAGCCATGGTGGCAGGGACTGAGGCAGTTAGGGGTGATCAGGCAGGCAGGCAGAGGCAGTTAGGGGCGATCAGGCAAGTAGGCAGAGTGATTAGGGGCAATCACTCAGTCAGGTGAGTGCTTAGGGATGATCAGGCAGGCAGGTGAGCAGTGAGGAGCCAGCAGTCCTGGAGTGTGAGAGGGATGTTTGCGCCTAAACTGGCAGTCACCCCCGAGGGATCATTGATTTTGGGAGGGTGCAGGCTGGGCTGAGGAACACCTCCAACCTCCCCCTCCCCTCCTTGTGCATGAATGTTATGCAGTGGTGCTCTAGTAAGATGTAATAGTCATGATTACAATTATATTCTTTTCTCAATTAAAAGCTTTAAAGTAATATATTTATAATGTAACAGTGAAAACATTCTATGTTTCTATTTTAAAATATATTATAATATATAATAATGCAATTTTTGGTTTACCTTTAGGCATTTTTTACACTTGCACGAGATATAATGACAAAACTCAACAGAAAAATGGTTTGTATCACTTATAATTTTGTTTTCATTATACTGTTTGTAAATTTGTGTTATTCTGTGTATTTATATGATTAAAAGGATAGCTCTGATTGTAATATATTCACATTAAGTTTTTTTTTTCTTGACTCATATAATCAGCTGGTTGAACTTTGATTCTTATTTCTGCTTCTTCAGGTTTCATATTTATTTTTTTTAATATATTTTTTATTTCAGAGAGGAAGGGAGAGGGAGACAGAAACATCAATGAGAGAGGATTATTGACAGGCTGCTTCCTTCATGCCCCCTACTGGGGATCAAGCTTGCCCTGACTAGGAGCCAAACTGTAACCTCCTGGTTCATAGGTCTACACTCAACCACTGAGTCATGCTGGCCAGACCAAGTTTCTTATTTCTGAACTGCAGCTATTTCAGATCTGTCTTCTGGCTCTTTAAATGGACTTTTATTGAATTTTGATCCAAAATTTAAAATAATGCACAAATTAAATTTTTGCCCTAAAATTATCTAGTTTAGTTTTGATGTGACATTTATATTTATATATAATTATGATCTTAAAGTTGCTAAAGTTTGTTTCTATTTGAAATTATCTTAGTGATGAATCATTAGGGCAACCTAGATAGTTTATTTTAACCTGAATTCTGAATATAATATATACTGTATGTTACCAATACTTCTTACCTCTAATAACAAAATTGTCTGTACTGATACCTTAACATTGTTTCCATCATTACCCTTGAAAGTTTACATTCCACTGGCAGTAATTTTTTTTGATCTGGAAATAGGAGCTTCCTGATAGTAATCTGCATAAAAGGTGCTATGCTAAAAACATTTTTTTCAACCCTCATTTTCCAAATAAACCATTAACATCAGAGTTTAATGAGTTCCTCTTCTAATAAAATACCCTGCTGAATGTGCCTTTATGTTATGGCTTGATATTATTTCTTTTATATAATTGGGGTCAAACCATGAAGCTTTTGTTCTCTTTGTAACTTTGTCTTTTGTTTTTTAGAACGACAGCAATTCATCGGGAGCAGGTGGACCAGTGAAAATAACAGAAAACCGATCAAAGAAGACCAGTTTCTTCCGGTGTTCGCTACTTTGATGAACTTCTTTCTGAGAGACTGCAGCACACCCAGAGGACCCTTTCCTGCTTCTCTGAAAGCACAGGTCACCCAGCCTCAGAACCACACCGCCAGGCTGCTACTGAGAGCACCACCGAGCCTAGACCTCTGGACACAGAACACCTAGTGGATTCCAGCCACAGCCTAGCGAGATACAGGCTCCTTTTTTCAAACACGGAAGCAATGAGATGGAGACACATGCAAGACTTGTTTTTTTCTTTGTTTTGTTGCCTTTTGCAGAAGCTGCTCTTTTCTTTTTCACTTTGCACATCAGTGTTAGCCTTTCCCTGTTATAGCACAGTCTTAGACTCTCACACACACCCTTGTCTCACCAGGTTCTAGACAAATGTGTGCTTTGGGGAGGTTTAAAACAAGAGTAGAACATTTAAAGCAGAGGTCAATAGAACTAAAGTTAAAGGACATTTGGGCTGATGTTCATATGGCCAGATGTTATTGCATTCATGGCATTTATTTTGTTTGTTTCTTATTGGTTAGCACTTTGCTTCATTCTTGACTTTTTAGCCAGTCTGGGTAGCTGAAGGAAGTCACTTTTCAGTTGATTCCCTCTGCCTAACCTATAAAAACTGCATTTGGAAATGACCTTAATCTCCTTTTTTCTGGGGTTCATAATTGCTGTCTCTTCTTATGTTTGACCTATTGTAATCAGTCAGTCATCTAAAACGTAACATATTTTACCATTGTTGTCTGTTTCTAGTTGTGAATTCTTGAGCTGAAATTTTACATGGACAGAGAAATGTACCATTTAGGGTTTTATTTCAATGTCTAATTGTGGTTCCATCACGTTAGCATACATAATATATTTTGTCTTAGGTTTACTCCCCAGATTGCTGATTTCGTTTTAATACCCAATTCCTACCACGATCCCTGTGTACAAGAGTTATTTTAAATTTTAGTTCACAGAAAGCTTACCTAAAGGAAGAGATATGACTTGTTAACATAAATTTAGAAGAAATAGCTCTTGGTAATGGTGAAAATAATTATTTTTGTTCTGTTTTTTACTTGGGTTTTTAAACAAAATAAGGATAATAAACTTAGTGTGGCCTCTAGGAAAAGTCTTGCTATCTCATTAGAGAAAATATGAGCAAGGTTTCCGTTTTCAAACAGCTACTGTTGAATGGGTAGAACCCAGTTCCATCTGTTCAGGTTTGTTGTTTGAGAACTTTGTCCAGTCACCTGGGCCGAAGCCAACCAAAAGCTTTGTCTTTCTCACCAACCCCTGGAACTGGGGTACCTTTTGTTGATGAAACCATCACATAGGAAAAGAAAGGGATTTAGTGTTAACTATGTGCCAAATTAAGGTCATTATGTCATTGCTGTTATCCTAGCCTTCAGGGTCATAACACGGAGGGGAGTAACAAAGAGGTGATGAAGGAATTGAATTCTGTTGAGGAGTATTCTTCCTCCTAGGCCTGTTTTGTTTCACAGAGTTTACCATCATGCTTGAAATTAAGAATTGGAAGTGGAAGTGGAAACAGATTGCTTGTTACCACAGAGAACTCTGCTTCAAATTAAGATGTATCACAGAATGCTCGAGCCATTCAGACTTTTTGAAAACTTATGCACAATTTTGCTACAGCAAATATAAATATTCCAGAGCTATTTTTGAATGGGACACTAAACACTGTTAACAAATTTTTTAAAAACTTACCTATAGGCTTAACGGCATCTGCTGGTGTCTGAGGATAATCAAGCGGTTCCTTGCTTGAAAGTCTATTATAAGTCTACCATCTTAAAATTAGATACATCTTTGGAAAGAAAAACAATTTCTTAGGAACATCTTGTATTTTCTGAAAAATATTCCAAGCAGTTAAGCTTTCTGGAGGGTAACAAAGTCGTTCCTAAAAGGCAAGTGCTATGACACCATGTATGAATGTAATTCTCTCAGTAATTTACCTCTGACTATTTGGTGTCTTAACACTTTGGTTTATATCTCAGGGGTTATCTGCAAACCAAAACTGACATATCCTATGGTTAGCTTTTTTTTTTAGCAGAATGCTTTGCTTTTGTTTTATTCTTTCTCTCTTCTTTTGTCTTATATGGATTAATAACTAGTCTCCATGAAATTCCTTTGAAAGAGCCGTGAAAACTAGATGAGTCTAAAGGTGCTCTTTGAAGTAGCAGCAATTTGAGGTATATGCTCTGTTGTATATAAATAAATCGTCCTTGCTATTTTCTTACATTTAGTCTTGCTAAATTGTATATAATTTGAGCTAAGACCATAGGAAATTCACCTTCTGCATGGTAAAATGACCCAATAAATATCCCAGTTTGCTTAATAATGTACATATAGTGCATTATTTTTTCTATTTGTAGATGAATTTAGTGAGAGATAATTGTCTGTTCCCTGCTGAAACTGAAGAAATCTAGTTTGAACATTTCTGTGGTCTGTGGATCAGGTACATGAAAACTGTGCAGCAGTACCAGTGGCATTCAGTGGCTGCACTTTATTATCAGTGTGCTCATTCCTGCCAATGATGGACTAGACCTTTTCAAATAGCGTCTGAGGGTATCAGACAATGAAAATGTGCTGTAACTAAGTAGCTTGTAAATCAGTTGATTGTAAAACGTTTCACTGGGAACTTATTTTAGCTCTATTTTACTTCAGACAGATTCTAAGAAAATAACCCACCTGTGCATCAGTGAGGAGGTGCAGCAGGGTTTCTTACTATTTACATGAACATTTTGTGCAGTCTTTGTTATAAATTTTCAGAAGACTATACTCTTTACTTTGAAGGACTATTTTTTATTATACCTCATTAGCTTACTAGTGTTCAAATACCTGGTAGAAAAGCAGTAAGCCAGCCTTTATGCATCCAACACGATTTAGATGATATGTTTTGTTTTGAACTACAGGCATCATTGGGAAAGGTCGGAGGTAGTTTAGAATAGAACATACATGTCATATCCACTAGTGCAAAAAAGAAGTATTATCTCCCTATCTCCATTAATAAATTTAGCTGTGCAATATAGATAAATGTTTGCAGAAATTTCTAATAAGAGATTATAACTCCGTTTTACAGGTTCTAATGCTGGGAATCTGTATTAAGGCTTATATAAAGTTTTTCCTGTGAACAGTAAGTGATACATATAAGCAGACTTTCTTTTCTAGTTTGACTTAGATTTCTCTATAAATTTAGTTCTTAATCTTTAAAGATGAGCTTCTAAGCTTAAAATTTTAAAACAGCACTTCATTATGTTGGTGTAATTGTGTCAGATTGTAAGCAGTCATTTCTTCTGTCAGGTTTTATAATTTTCCTTTTAACAGAAAGTACATTCCATTTTCCTTCTTATAGCTAAAGAAGGGAGAAAGGAATGTCTAAAAACGAAATTCCTTGTCCTAGAGAAACCTAGAGAGACAGGAAATGCTAATAAAATTTCAAATGCTAGCACAATTTTACAATAGAATTGGTCTTTTTAAAAAGATTAATAAAATGAATGGTTGTCATGCTCACTATGAAAAATAAATCTAAGTGACTGAAATTTACAGAAATAAAAATTAGCAAACAATTATTTTAGGGATATTTTCAAATTTTACTTCATTTTTTGAAATAACTTATATGTAATTGCATTTCGTATTGCCAACAACTAATAGAACTTTTTTCATTTTCTTACATTTTTAAAAAATGTGAACTTATTAGAATTCATTCCTATGGCCTTACAGATGGGTTTTTATTTTGTTTGCAGCAGTTCCTTTAATTCAAAATATCATAACTCTTTGACTAAAATCATGCCCCAAATGAAAAATACCTAATTTTTCCATAGAATTTCCCACTGCATATGTTTTGGTGATTTTATTTTTGTTCCAACGGCTTAATGTGAAAAGCTCATGCAGATAAAGTGGGCCTGTCATGTGGTTAGTCTTGTTTAAGCCAATTCATTAACTGTGTACTGATATTATTGCTGTGTTTTTGTTGTTTTTTAAGTGGATTTTACTCCAGGTGAACTTTTTTTTTTATAATAATGTTCGTCTAAAATAAAAACTACATTCTGAAAATATTCATGACTCCCTGAAATGGTGGCAGATTTTGAAAATCTTTCTTCGAATTTATAGGTGTGTGACTCAAACCATGGCCGACTTGGGATATTTTAGCAAACTTTCTGAATTAGAGGTGTTTAAAATGGCCAGATCGCCTGCTCATACTTAGTTCAGAACACATTGAGATTATTCTGTGATGGCACTCCAGCCCTCCCTTCCTAGTCCTTGCAAGTTTACTTTTTATTGTTTTGTTTTCATTTCCAAATAACTTCGTTCAAGGGCCCAGCTCTACCCATATTCCACCATGTGCTTGTGCGCGTCCCCAGTCATAGCCTTTCCTGCTCCTTCCCACCACCACTCCGACCTTCATTATTCTTCTCACACACCCTGCTTCTTTCCTTTCCCTCTGGTAGACCGACCTCTCCTCTCCTGCCTCACAGGAAAGCATCTTCTAAAACCACCTTAATTGCCTCTCCCTCCCCAGCTCTATGGTCAGCCGCTCTCATCCTCAGCTCCCTCCTCTTGTAGCAGAGGCATTCCTCCTAGTCCATGCTTTCTCTCTGCCTCTTCTCTGGATTCATCTCTCCTGCCCCTTTGTCCTGCTTCTCAGAGAACTCACTGCTCTTATACCTTCAAATGCTTATCCTGTGTGAGCCCTTTCCCCTTAGTATCTAAGCATCCTTAACTCTCCCACCCCTTTGCCTCCTGTCCTTCTCACCTATTGCTCTTTCTCCTCTTCTTGCTATAGCTAACCTTCACCCAAGGGTTGCCTGTACATACTGTCTTCACTTTCTCATTTTGCATTCATTCCTCAGCCTACTCCAGTTTGGCTTCCTCCCTATCACCTCACAGACATCATATTTATAACGGCCTAGTTGCAAAAGTAGCTGGCAGTTTTCTGTCCTCTTAACTAACTTGCCAGCATTTGATGAGTATATTGCTTCCTCCCAGAAATGTTCTCTTCTCTTAGTTTCTGTGACAATCTTCCCCAGTTTTCCAAAATAATTTCATCTTTTTTCACAGCTCTTAAATTTGTTTCTGTGGTAGACTGAATTATGGCCCCCAAAGACATCCATTCTAACCTCCCGAACCTGTGAATGTTACTTCATTTGCAGATGTGATCTTGAGATAGGAAATTATCTTGAATTATCCAAGAGGGCCCTCTGTAATACCAAGGGTCTTTAGGAGAGGGGAATAGGAGGAGTCGGAATTAAAAAGTAATGATGTGATGACAGGAACAGGGAGAAAAGGTGTGATGCAGGACTATGAGCCCCACTAAAGCAAGATTACCTAGCAAGACCATAATTTAGAATAAAAGAAAAAAATAAAAATAAAGTTTCCCAGACAAGAAAAAGCTAAATAAGTTCATCACCACCAAACCAATATTATAAGAAACTAGAGGCCTGGTACACAAATTAGTATACCATTCGGGTCCCTCGTCCTGGCCTGGGTAATTGGGCCTAGACCGGCTCTCCAGCTCCCCCAAAGGGTCTCAGATTGAAAGAGGGAGGAGCAGGCCAGTGCACAATCGGGGCCAAGGGAGTCACAGGAGGTTGGCCAGTTGGGGAAGGACTGCGTGAGGGCTCCAGGGCGTGTATGGCCGTCTCACTCAGTCCCAATCATCTAGATCCCAGCAGCAAGCTAATCTACCAGTCAGAGCGTCTGCCCCTTGGTGATCCATGCACATCATTGTGACTGATCAAAGAGTTAACTGCCCCCTGGTGGTCAGTGCATATCATAACAAGCAGTTGAGCACCTCTAGTATACATTAGCATATTATGCTTTGATTGGTTGGATGGCCAACCAGTCAACTGGACACTTAGCATATTAGACTTTTATTATATAGAATGTTCAAGTGGCTTCTTTAAGAAGAAGAAAAAATAAAAAATATGATTAAAAATATTGCTAAGAAAATAATTCTCACTGAAAAAGGCAAACACATAATAAAAGCAATGAGTCAACCAACACTAAGGCCAGTATAAAGGCTCAAAGGCAAAAGTAGGAAATGAAGATCATGTTTAATTACAACAGTAAATTAAGGGATACACACAAACACACAAGAAAAACAAACATACTGGTAAATGTGCAGGGGGTGAGTAAAAATGGTAGTGATTTTAGAGTGTGTTCAAACTTAAGCAACTATCAACTTAAAATGGACTGCTATAAACATAGTTTGGTATATATGAAGCACATGGTAACCACAAACCAAAATCTACAAGAAATAAAGAAAAAAGAATCCAAATAAGACTATAGAAAGTCATCAAGAAAAAAGAGCATGGCGAAGCCAGTTTGGCTCAGTGGATGGAGCACTGGCCTGCGGATTCCATTCTGTGAAGGGCATGTACTTTGGTTGCGGCACATCCCCAGCAGGGGGTGTGCAGGAGGCAGCTGATAGATGTTTCTCTCTCATTGATGTTTCTAACTCTCTATCCCTCTCTCTTCCTCTCTGTAAAAAAATCAAGAAAATATATTAAAAAAAAAAAAGAAAAAAAAAGAAAAAGAAGAGCAGGAGCATAAGGAACAGAGCCCTAGCCAGTTTTGCTCAGTGTATAGAGTGTCAGCCTGAAGAATCCCAGGTTCAATTCTGGTCAAAGGCACATGCCTATGTTGCGGGCTCAATCCCCAGTAGGGGGCATGCAGGAGGCAGCCAATCAATGATTTTCATCATTGATGTTTCTCTTTCTCCCTTCTCTGAAATCCATAAAAAAAATAAAATAAAAAAAAATAAGAAAGGAGCAGAGAATTACCAAAAAAAAAAAAAAAAATCAATCAGAAAACCAAAAAAATGGCAATAACTACATACTTATAAATAATTACTTTAAGGACAAAGTGCTCTAATCAAAAGGTATTATTATAAATATTCACATTAAACATGGAGAAAAATCTTAGATATGAATGATCAGAAAACATAACCTTCTGGTTTTAATGTTTAAATCTCTCGGAAATTGTTAAATTAATATAAAATAACAAATGTTTGTAAGTTCCACTTTTTAAATTATTTCATTAATCGAACAGATATACTAGGTGCTGAGGAAATAAAAAAGAACAAAACAAAACCCCCGCCCCTCCAAAAGTTTATTTTTAAGGGTGGATACCAATGAGCAAGTAAAAACAGAGCAAGGAGATACTGCCCTTACTATAGAGTGATCAGAGAATGCCCTTAAAAACAACTTTTTTGAAGACTTGGAGTGTGGGGTTGGGAAACAAATCAGCTGGCCAGCACAACTTCGAGAAGGACAGCATGTTCCACCACTATTTCATCCTTTTACTTATCATTTGGGTCACCGCTGTCCCAACTTGGATTTTATATATGAGTGATGAAGCACGAAGTTCCCGCAACTATGCAAATAAAAAAAAAATTTTGCTTTAAAAAATTCCTTTATTTAGAAATGGAATCCTGTCTTTGTAGGGTACTGTTTTATTTTAGTTGATCTGGAATGTTACCCGGCTCTGGCCTCAAAGGGGACAGGGATCTCTCCTGTCAGCCTTACAGCAGCCGGCACCGTTGGGCTGATCTCTGTGTACGTGTAGCGAGACCTAGGGGGGGCGCTACAGCTCCGGCACTAAAGTCGCCCTCAATGCAGCTTGGGGCCCAGGTGGGCGGTAGAGGATGGGTGAGACCAAAGCCGGGCGTTTAGGACCGCGCCCCTACCCCAGCCTCCCTCCCCTCCGTTCGCCCCGCTCCTCCCCATCCCCTCCGCCCCGCCCCTCTGCCACACCACGCCCCTCCCCTCTGCCCCTCCGCCCCGCCCCCTCCCTACTTGCCTTGCCCCGTCCCGCCCCCTCCCCACTCGCCCCGCCCCATCCCCTCCGCCACGCCCGTCCCCTCAGCCCGGCGCCCCCACTGCAGCCCCGCCCCTCCGCCCCACCCCGCCCCGCCCCGCCCCTCCGCCCCGCCCCGCCCAGCGCTCAGCTCAGCTGCGCCCCAAGCTCCCCGCGTCTGTGCCGGGCTCGGCGGACGCGGTCGCCATGACGGCGGCCGTGTTCTTCGGCTGCGCCTTCATTGCCTTCGGGCCGGCGCTCGCCCTCTACGTCTTCACCATCGCCACGGACCCGCTGCGCATCATCTTTCTCATCGTCGGGTGAGGCGGTTGCGCTGGGAAACACGGAACCGGGGCTCCCCTCTCCCCGCGGGTGTTCCGACCCCAGGCTTCCCCGCCGTAGGGCTCGACCTTGTTGGGCTTTGGAAGGGACCGGCTTGAGACGGGGAGAGCCGAGACCCGCTCCTCCGGACGCCTCGCCCGGCGGGAAAGGCACGGGAACCCGCCACCCCAGAGGGCAGGCTCTGGGGAAGGAGCGCACCCTGTGGGTCTCAAAAACCCTGAGCCTCGGCTCCTGAGTTTCCGCTTAGGGTCCGAGGGTGGGCTGTGGTGAGTCCTGAAACAACCTAAATTGCATGAAGAAAAAAAAAAAGTGGATACGTTCAAGTACGCATCTTTTATTTTTCTGCAGAGGGGGGTCCCAAGGTAACTTCAGATTTTGTAATCCCAAAGGGGTTAAGAGCCTGGAGATCTGGTGCTTTAAAACGCACCAATGCCCAAACGCCTAACCCAGGTCTTCTGAATGGGAATGTGTAGGGGGCGGGGCTCACCTGCCCCGACACAGAAGCACCTGTCAGCGCTCTTCTCCGGGGCTGGGTAAACACCGAACCCTGGCGGTGAGTGTGGTCACAACCCGTTTTCCTCTGGCAGCTCTTGCTGAGGCTCCCCTCATGCCCCTACACCCCTGAGTCTCCCTTGGCACCGGGAGAAACAGCCAGACCAGGCCAGCGATGCCCACTTTTTCTGAGTCTCTTCACCTCTCACCACTCTATGGAGAGTGCTGCATCCCGCCACTGTTTAAAAAGCGATAGAGATTGGGCAGAGGGTCTATGAAGCTTGTTAGAATCATTAGAATCCACAGGAATGTTGCAGAAACCGGGCCTGGGAACCTGATCTAGATCAGAGTGCAGATTTCCAACTCCTGGGTTTTATACTAATCACTATTAATAGAGATATAGACTTTTTTTTTTCTGGGAAAGACATATTTGCACATCAGTGAGCAAAGCATTAATTGGGAAGAATAACAAATATTTCCAGCTCGTCAGTGCTTAATGGATAGTGTGCAGATGTACTTAATAAATAGCAGGGTCACTGAAAAAGAGTGATTGCTAGGAAAAATCCTAAATTCTTTTTGGTTCACATGTTCACCTCAACAGAGGAAATGCACCACTGACCCCCTGATTAAGGACAATGGATCCAGAGCATCACTTTATGAGCCCTTAAAGTTTTTAAAAAAAAAAAAATTAATTCTGTACTTATGTGTGACTTTTCCTTCTCTCCCCCCTAATTTCAGAGCTTTCTTCTGGTTGATATCTTTACTGGTTTCCTCCCTTGTCTGGTTCGTGGCAAGAACCGTTGCTGGCAACAGAGATGGACCAATAGAGACATACCTGCTGATCTTTGGAGTGTTGATCTCAGTTCTCATCCAGGAAATATTTCGGTTTGCATATTACAAACTTTTAAAGTAAGTTAAACATTTGTTTACCTTTCCCCCCAGTTAATTTGGATTATGGTTTAGTAATTTGAAAAATTAATGCTGTGTGGTATTTGAAGATCCATGCCTTCCTGCATAGTTTGTAGCCAAAGGATTAGAACATTTCTAACCTGAAAATATTGAGTATTTTAGCTTGTGGATACTCCTTCCTTCATTCACTCATTCAAAAAATATTTTTCTGAGAATTTACTCAATGCCAGGCATTATTCTAGGCACTGGGAATAATGCATCATGATTAAAAGACAGTATCTGTCCTCGTGGAAGTTGTATTATAGTGGAAAGAGACAGGCTATGAATGAATAAGAAAGTTCATTGTATATTAGAAGATAACTGCTATAAAGAAAAATAACAACGAAAACTGTTTAATTTTAGAATTTATATCAGCTTTCCTTTGCCACCAACTAAAATAAGTAATTCTTAGAGAGATTATGCCTACCATTATTTTTGATTGTATTAGGGAAAATAAGGGTTCATTTTGTGATAGTTCATGTGATTTCATATCTGTAATAGAAAAATTTGAAAAAAAAGAAAAAAGAAAAAAGAAAAAAAAGAGCTATGGGCAGGAGTTCCCTTTAGGGAACTTTAGGCCAGAAAGTAGGTCATCTAGCATTCATGAGGCCCTCACATGAAACCACTGATTTGAAACACAGCTTGACTTAGAATCATGTTTTCTTTCAGGCAGTCATGAGACTGGCTTTGATTATGTAGTAAGATTTAGTAGAATGATAAATATACTCTTCCTCTTTTGGCACATGAGATAGTTAAGCTACTCCATGAATTTCATGGATGTAACCAAGACAGAACATCAACAATATCTCTTATAATAACTTCTGGTAATTTGTTCTTGCCAATATGCTAAGCTTTCAATATTGTTTACTTGTTGCTTTAAATAACAGATATTGAAATTAAATAATGAAGCAATTGATATTACAAATTTAAAACCGTGAAGCCATTGATTACAAGCAAAAGTCATATCTTAGAAAAGGTTTTTAAATATGAAATTTCCATTAGTTCATGGAACTATTAAAAAGCAACCAACAAATGTCAAAGATAAAATTTAAGTTTCCACAGGAATACATTAATTAATCTCTGGTTGTATGGAGCATTTTTTAAAATCTTTATTGTTCAGATTATTACAATTGTTTCTCTTTTTCCCCCTGCATAGCTCCCCTCCACCCGGTTCCCATCCCACCCTCTGCCCTTACCCCCACCCCACTCCCACTGATTTTATCCATAGGTGTACGATTTTTGTCCAGTCTCTTCTCACACCTCCCACAGCCCTTTCTCCCTGAGAATTGTCAGTCCACTCCTTTTCTATGCCCCTGATTCTATTATATTCACCAGTTTATTCTGTTCATCAGATTTTTTATTCACTTGATTTTTAGATTCACTTGTTGGTAGATATGTATTTGTTGTTCATATTTTTTTATTTTTACCTTTTTATTTTTCTTCCTCTTCTTAAAGAATACCTTTCAGCATTTCATATAATACTGGTTTGTCGATGATGAACTTCTTTAGCTTGTTCTTATCTGTGAAGCTTTTTATCTGACCTTCAATTCTGAATGATAGCTTTGCTTGGTAGAGTAATCTTGGTTGTAGGTTCTTGCTATTCATCCCTTTGAATATTTCTTGTCACTCCTATCTGGCCTGCATAATTTCTGTTGAGAAATCAGCTGAAAATTGTATGAGTGCTCCCTTGTAGGTAACTCACTGTTTTTCTCTTGCTACTTTTAATATTCTCTCTTTGTCTTTTGCTCTTGGCATTTTAATTATGATGTGTCTTGATGTGGTCATCTTTGGATTCCTTTTGTTTGGGGTTCTCTGTACTTCCAGGACTTGTAAGTCTATTTCTTTCACCAGGTGGGGAAGTTTTCTGTCATTATTTCTTCAAATAGGTTTTAAATATCTTGCTCTCTCTCCCTTCTTCTGTCATCCTTATAATTCTGATGTTAGTATGCTTGTAGCTGTCCCAGAGGCTCCTTACACTATCTTCATATTTTTGGGTTCTTTTTTTCTTTTTGCTTTCTGGTTGGGTGTTTTTTGCTTCTTTGTATTTCAAATCTTTGACTTGATTCTTGCAATCCTCTGGTCTGCTGTTGGGTCTCTGTATATTATTCTTTATTTCAGTCAGTGTATGCTTAATTTCTACTTGGGACTTTTTCATATCCTTGAGGGACTCACTAAATTTATCGGCTTTTTATAGAAAATTCTTGAAAAACGTTATAACCATGGTTTTGAACTCTATATTCAGTCGTTTGCTTTCTCCATTTGTGTCATTTGTGACCTGTTTCTTTGCCTCCACATTTTCGCTGCTTCCCTGAGTTGATAGAGTGGCTTTGTGTGCTAGGTGTCCTATAGGGCCCAGTGGCTCAGTCTCCCCAGTTACCTGAGATGGACACTCTTAGTGCATCCCTTTGTTGGCTGTGTGCACAGTCTTGTTATAGTTAAGCCTTGATTGTTGTTGGTTTTACTGGAAGGAATTGACCTCCAGGCCAATTGGTTGTGAGGAACAGCTATGTCTATGATGGGAGAACTTCTGTGCTGGAGACAACCATATGGGGCAAGACTTGCTTCAGTGGTGCTTTGGTGCTCACTGAGTCTGCCTCCTGAGTGTCCCCCTTATGGATATGAGTAGTTGTAATCTGGATGGCCCCACTCTGACTCCTGGGTACACTGGCTCTTGGATCTCCAAGGAGGTGCTAATTTAGCCTCTGCCTGGGCCCTCCCAGCAGGAGTTACAGAGAGATCTGCAGATTCCTCTTCTTTGTTTGGGTTTTGGAGGTGCCCAGACGAGGCCCGGCTGTGAAGCAATGCAAACGGCTATGGGGCCTTGGAACTTTTTTTTTTTATATTCTGGGTCTCACTGACTCAGCTGCAGTTTGTTAGGTAAGTTTAGAATTCAAAGGACCAGGCCATTCATATGCAAAAGCCTCTGCACTCAGCTTGGATGAGGGGGAGTCTCAGAGTGGAGCTATCAGCTATGGCTTCCCATCAGCCCTGCCCTAAGAAGCCCCTGGGTCTCAGTGTCCCATGGTAATCGCTGCAAACCCTCTGAGAGAAAGCCATCTTTAAGTTTCGCCCACTGCCAGACAGTCCAGTTTCTCCCCATCTGAATCTGGGTCCCCAGAGTCTGACCCGGAACTGGAGTTCAGAACATTTGGGAGCTTTTGTCTCCCTCCCAATTGAGAAAGCCAGCCGGGTACTCAGCTGCCAGCCCTCTCCACGCACATGCCTCCGTACCTCTGCACTTTACTTCCGCAGCTCCTGTGAGTCTCAGCGTGCTTTTCTCTGTCCTAATTGTAGAATTTCCACTCAGGCAGCCTTCCTGTGGTTCTGGATGATTTCCATTTTGTCTTTTAGTTATAGTTTTGAAATTGTTGTGCGAGGCAGCAGTCTAGGTGTTTACCTATGCCTCCATCTTGGTTTCTCTGGATTTTTCTCTTAATCTGGAGCATTTTAACAATAGAATATTATTGAGGTAATCAAAATCTCCCTCTTCCTGACCTCTGCCCCGTTCAAGACACATACAGTCAAATGAAATCTCTGTCACCTAGTGGTTGTCTCTTTCACAGCTAAATGTTCCTCATTTCTTCACCTATTCCTCAGAAGACTTGTCTGTGGCTTTCAAACCTTTTCCGGTCCCTGTTCTCTTATGTCAGTGGATATGTTTCTTTTTGTCAGTGCCTGGAGCTTACCTGAGCTGAGGATCCAGCAGAGCACCCTGTGTGACCACGGCAGTGTGGAGGCCAGTGGCCCTTTCCTCTTTGACTGGGCACCGTTCTCTTAAGAACTCAGCATCCAAGGCTGCTCTGGGTTTCCTGACAGCCATATCTTTGGCTCATGTTGGTTTTGCATTTTACAGATGATGATTCTAATATTGAAGCAAAACTTTGAGTAGATTTTCACAGTTTAAGACATGGATTAGGTAACCCTTTAGGGACTTAGGGTATCTTCTTATTTCTTTCACAGTTCCCATCTGAAATGCAACTCTTTTTTTCTTTTTTTAATATGTTTTTATTGATTTCAAAGAGAGGAAGGGAGAGGGAGAAAGAGATAGAAACATCAATGATGACAGAGATTCATTGATTGGCTGCCTCCTGCAAGCCCCACACTGGGGATCGATCCCATAACCCGGGCATGTGCCCTAACCAGGAATCAAACTGTGACTTCCTGGTTCATAGGTAAACACTTCAACCAGTGAGCCACACCAGCCAGGCTGACGTGCAACTCTTTATTGGTACTAACCTGTGGTTCCAAAGGGCTTCCCACTGAACACTGGTTGACATTTTTAATGAGGGTAGTGAGGGTAGTGAGGGAATAGGGCCACATGCAGAAGGAATTATGGTTGTCAATCTGCATGCTCTTATGCCAGCAAGTTCAGAGAAGCCTTTTGGCCTTCCAGAAAAATCATGTTTACTGCTCCAGAAGGACCTTTGGAAATTTGCAAGTAAGATATTAGAACAAATACGTATTAACAGGAGCCTTTGTAATGCATCTTTAGCAAGCCTTTGGAATTTTGTACGGCATCTTCCTAGAAGATTCTAGAAATGTTGGATGTTATATAGTTATGTATTAAAACAAGTTTGAGAATTATTATGATATTTGATTCATGGCTAACATTTATATAGATGCATTTAAATTCTTCTCTTATGCAACACTATCTTCAAATATAGGAACTTTGGCTTAATCAATATTTTAAGTATTCCATTGCCAACGTGCATTTTGAACATTTAAATTTAAAGTATGTCCTCAAATTTTTGTTATCTGAAGTTGATACCGAGATGAAAATGTGGAGAGTTTGCACTGGTATATTTTTTTTCCATTTATGGTTTTGAATCAAAATATTTATCATTGCAGTCTACCTCAGTTTATTTATGGTCAAGTCTTCAGATCAGTACTTTCTCTTGAGTGAATGAATTCTAACTTTCACCCTGGCAAAGAGTTGCACTGTGAATATTGGCTACAAGTGGCAGCACTTTCTATCTTAATTTCTTTTTTAAAATCCAAGTTATAGTCCTGTACATTGCCTAAAACCTACATTCGAATTTTTGTAGTTTATTTCAATTTTGTCATATAATGCTAATACCACAAATATTTGGCAATTTGAGAAAATTTTTCATTTATAAGATAAGTTAAGACAATCATTGCTATAATTTTTTAAAAGGCATATTTTTCTAAATTTATACAATAATGTATTTAATTTATATGCAGATTCCTTTGTACTGTCCCTTTCTTACACACACACACACACACACACACACACACACACACAGAATCAAAACAAAGGAGAAAGATGGAATGATTTATCAGTACTTTTTAAAAGTTTATATTTTAAAAATCGGGCCTTTTCTTTTTTGTTCTTGGAAACTATAACAAATGAAAACAAAGAATTTCCACTTCAGTATGATGGTCATAAGAACATTGTCCCTTACTTACATCATCAGTCGTGTGTTTTGTCGGGAACACGGAAATTGGCGGTGTTTTGTACTTTCTCACTTCCCACTCTTAACATGGAGAACTATCAGTGCCACAGATCTTTCCTCCCACAAACTTGTAATATAGAATGAGGAAGTTTATTAACTTCTGAGTTTATGTATTTAATATAATTGGGGTAGTACTTTGCTATTCCAGATAGCAAAAATCTTTTATTCATTACTGAACAACTTATATAAAACAAAAATCCTCCAAAATTTATTGATTCTTTTATACCATTAAATTCATTTGTTGATTTAGAGCACATGTGTCAAACACAAGGCCCGCGGGCCAAATCCGTCCCGCCAGGCCTTGCAATGTGGCCCGCACCGCGCTGTCATCACTGCACTCTGCTGCGTTTCCATCACAATGACAGTTTATGACTGTTCAGTAAACCATTCGGCCTGCGATTTAGGCTGGATTTTAGATTTTGGCCCCTTCTCTGATTGAGTTCGACACCCCTAATTTAGAGTATTACTGCTATGTTTCTAAGCTTTAATTGTCCTTTAACAACATTCCTGTGACACGTAAGTTTGTTGTTTAGGAAAACTGGACATGTTAGTTGGTGACTGCTGCGGAGAAAGAGGTTGACAGTCATTGGCTCCTGATCCTACCAAACGGTGGTTTGGGCAAATAGTTTCTTTGAGCCTAGAAAAACAAAAGACCCTTTTTAATTCTGCTTATTACTCTTTTGGTTGTCCTCTGCATGGCCTTTAATTTAATGGTATTTATACTAAATATATTATAACTTAACTATCCTTAAATCAGGATCATTGTCGCAGAGATTCTAGCCAACAAGGGTTAGTAATAGTGACCGTAGAGGAACTGACCAGCCACACCTTGCATTCCTAGCACATCGGGGTGGCAGCAGGGAAAGTCTGTGAATTGTGCACAACAGAAGCACAGATGTGATCGCTCTAAGGATCGTTTCTTATTAAGCAGTTTTCTAATCTCTCAGGTATTCATTTAGTTTCTTTTTTGATGGTAGCTTTCTATTTTCCCCTGATTATTTTCCCCCTGAAGCCTGTTTAGGGGTGGGGGAGATATGAATCAAATATGTAAATATTTTAGAATCAGACAATCAAGTGATTAAATGCCCATATAGGGATCTAGACCATCATTATTGTAGATTTAAGAAAAAAGAAGAGATAGTGATTACCAGTCATTCGTAAAGATGGTTTTTTTGAGAAATTCCTGCTTGAACTAGACTGTGAAGGTCGAATACAATTGAGGTTCTAAAGAGTGGAAGCTAGAAGGGAGGGTGGCAGAGTAAGGTGGAAGATATAATAAAGTACCAACACAGTGGGATTGAAGATATATCTCTCTGGGAAAAGGAAAAAATTCAGTGACAGCCCTGGATGGTGTGGCTCAGTTGGTTGAGCATCCTCCACTAAGTCACTGGTTCCAATTCCTGGTCAGGGCACATGTCTGGATATCCAGCTTGCTTACCAGTAGAGAGTGTGCAGGAGGCAGCTGATCAATGATTCTCACTGATATTTCTCTATCCCTCTCCCTCTTTTTCTTAAAAAAAAAATTAATAAAAAACATTTAAAAAGTGCCATAGGATATATATATTGCTTAATAGAATCATATTACATTGCTTAATAGAATCATATAGATTTCAAGTGTACATTTCTATGATTCAAGATCTGTTTATTGCTGTGTGTGTCCACCACCCAAAGTCAAATCATTTTCTGTCACCAAATCATTAACCCCCCTTAGCCCCCTGCCCCCCTTCACCCCCTTTCCTCTGGCAGCTACCACAGCGCTATTTGTGCCCACAAGTTTCAGTTTTATATCCCACATATGAGTGAAATCATACGGTTCTTAGCTTTCTCTGAATGACTTATTTCACTTAGCATACTATTCCCAAGGTCTGTCTAAGCTGTCACAAATGGCAGTATTTTACCTTTTCTTATGGCTGAGTAGTATTCCATTGTGTATATGTACCACATCTATCATCTATCGAAGGACACTTTGGTTGTCTCTATGTCTTGGCCACCATGAATAATGCTATGATAAAGTTAGGGGTGCATATATATTTGTGAATACATGTTTTCGAGTTTTTCAGGTATATACCCAAGAGAGGGATTGCTAAATCATATGGTTACTCTACTCTTAATTTTTTGAGGAATCACCTGATTGTTTTCCATGGTGGCCATACCAGTTTACACTGCTCACTCCCTGTTCCTCCCAGCCGAAGGAATTGCCGGCTATTACTGGTTTCCTCCCCTCTTCTGGCCAAGCGGGCTGGGGCAGGGAGCTCCCCTCTGCAGGTGCTTCCATCTGATCTGAGCGCTCCTCCCTTCTCGCCTTCCCATCAGTTCCCATTTGCTCACCTTTACCTGCTTCAATGTGTGGATCTTGCAGGCATGCCTCTGTGTTGAGCAGAAAGGCCTTTGTTGAGTGATAGTCGATCGACTTGTTAAAGTTTTAGGGGGAGAGACCAAGATCCTCTCTCACGGCGCCGGTCCTCTGATCACCATGGGATATTGAACTAAGTATTTGCCAATCTCAGGAAGTAGTCAGAAGTATTGCTTTTTTCCTGATGTCTTGTTTACTTATGTTTTTCTTATTTTCCTCTTTTATGTGAAAACTAGATAAAATGTAAAAATGGGTTGGAAATTTTGGTTGGTTTTAGATAATTGCAAAATTTAGAAAAATATATATTTTATTGATTTTTTACAGAGAAGAAGAGAGAGGGATAGAGAGTTAGAAACATCGATGAGAGAGAAACATAGATCAGCTGCCTCCTGCACACCCCTACTGAGGATGTGCCCGCAACCAAGGTACATACCCGTGGTTGTACTGTTACCTTCTCTGGGTGGTTACCATGACTCTAGCTGTACTAGGAGGACTCATCATATTGCTATAGTTAATACCGCTGCGTATTTTTTAGAATTATGTTGTGTGTGTGTGTTTTTTTGGGGGGTGGGAGCTTGTTAATCCTCACATGAGGTTATTTTTTCCATTGCTTTCCAGAGAGAGTGAAGAGGGGGGGGAGAGAGAGAGAGACAGACAGATAGACATAGATGTAAGAGAGATACATCGACTGGTTGTATTCTGTACACACCCTGATTGGGGTGGGGAGCAAACGGCAACCCAAGTACATGCCCTTGACCAGGAATCGAACCCGCAGCCTTTGGAATCGAACCTGGGACCCTTCAGTCTGCAGGCTGGTGCTCTATCCATTGAGCCAAACTCGTTAGGGTGGTAATTGCAAATTTGCTGGGTTTTTGTTTAAATGGATTTTGGATTTAGAGTATAGCTTTTTCTAAAGCCTTATTAAGTGTCTGGATTTTGAAGTATCTCGTGTATTTTCCTGATATACTACTTTTTTCTTTTAAAAACATCATCTGTGTGGTTTCATTTTAGAAAAGCCAATGAGGGTTTGAAGACTATTAATCCAGATGAACCAGGGCCTTCCATGCGCCTGCTGGCATATGGTAAGTTGGAATTGCATGGTGTTTTAAGAAAGAAAGAAAATTTGGCATGAAAGCCATTTTTGTCCTTTATATCTTTGTGGATACAATATTTTATTGCTGTCTGGTCTCTTGGTGTATATTGTTTATTTTTCTAGCTTTTCAGGGCCCTTATGTAAAGGGGGAAATAATTGCAGGTGACGTTTATCTGTGTGTCCATTAAATATTAGCCAGGTTTGGGAAAGTTAAGTGTTGAACACTCTAGTTAACTAACAATTTCTAAATGAGGTTATTGTTACCTTCTCTGGGTGGTTACCATGACTAGCTGTACTAGGAGGACTCATCATATTGCTATAGTTAATACCTCTGCATATTTTTTAGAATTGTGTGTTTGTGTGTGTGTGTGTGTGTGTGTGTTTTGCGGGGTGGGGGGGGGGGAGCTTGTTAATCCTCACATGAGGATGTTTTTTCCATTGCTTTTCAGAGAGAGTGAAAGGGGGGGGGCAGAGAGAGAGAGATACACAGATGTGAGAGAGATAATGTTGACAGACTGCATTCTGCACACACCCTGATTGGGGTGGGGAGCAAACGGCAACCCAGGTTCATGCCCTTGACCAGGAATCGAACCCGTAGCCTTTGGTGCTCTGGTTGATGTTCTAACCTCTGAGCCACACTAGCCAGGGCTAGAATTATGTTTTTAAAATTGGATCTAGGTCTGTAAGTTGAATCAGCCAATTTGGCCCAGGGATCAACTCTTACACTGCAGTCACACTTCAAGGACAGTTCCTAGTTCTAAGCCATCAAACTTAGGCTCTGTTATAAACTAAAGCCCGAGATTCAGCATCGTATCCTTCCCATTTCACCTGTTGCTTCTGTGTAGATCTTCTTCATTTCTCTGCTACCTCCCACTCTTCATTCCCTTTCCTCTTCTCACTCGATTCATCATTTAGCCAAGCACCTGCCTCTTCCGAGCCAGCTTTCCACTGTTTCCCCAATAGCATGTGCACCTTTCCCCCTTCCACAAAATAGTATGTCCCAGTCCTTGGAAATCTGAAGACAAATCACAGTGTGAAAGGGTTTAACAATAGTTTTCTTCCTCTTTAGTTTCTGGCCTGGGCTTTGGAATCATGAGTGGAGTGTTTTCCTTTGTGAACACCCTGTCTGACTCCCTGGGACCAGGCACAGTGGGCATTCATGGAGACTCTCCCTTCTTCTTCCTGTATTCAGGTATGTGCCTGGTAGCCATGAATGTTTAAGCTTCTGGTCTAACTGATCAGCCTGTTAGAGTTCTCTGGCTTAGGAATTCAAGTGAATAGAAATTTATGTTATATTTTCTAAAGGCAAAATACTGTTAGACATCACAAAGGAGATGATAGGAAATTAAAAACTTTGAGAGGAAGAGATCACACAAAGAATTTGTGTGCATACACTCACAATCCATGGGCACAGGCAGTAGGGCGGTGAAGGCCTGGGACAGGCTAGAACTAGAACATTAGCAGAGAATGAGAGTCCCTCGTTCCTCACCACTCCTTCCTCTCAGGTAACCCGATTCTGAATTATTAATTTCCTAGTTTAATCAGGTTTGAAAGTTTAACATGTACACATGTTTTGTTTAGAAAGTTTTACCTTCATGTATGTATCTGAAAGAAAGGTAATGTTTTGTTTTCCTATTTTTAGGAAAACAACATTTCCAACATTTAAAAATAAATAATGCTATATTTTTAAAAAGAAATTGAGAGGAAAAATGATAATAGGCGAGTTGACTTTTAAAACTCACAGATGCAGTATAAAAGGACCAACTCATTTCAAAGAGCTTTTTTATCCACAAGAAAAAAATTGTCATCATGATGCAGTGATCACATTTGAGAGTTGGTAATGTACACATTTAACATAAAATTTCTCCTTAATTTCACGAGAAGAATCTTTTAAAAGTACTTTTTTTTAAAAAAAAAACAAAAACTCACCATATGTTTTTTTATCTGCACAAGTTATATCATTGAAATAACATTTCACACATTCTTCAAATTAAATAATTATTTATTGTCTTCCCTGAGGTAATTTCTATCCTCAAGGAAGTTACCTTTATAGGAAGAACAAGATTAAAAAAAATGATTAATCATTTTAGTACAGTTTAGTAATAGAAAAGATATACAGAGGTATGACCAAATTTAAAAAAATATTGCTGCAAAAGTTTAGAGACATTCTGCATGTTGTTGTGATCCTCAAATCCACTGGACATTTGTTCACCATTTTGATTCAGGCCTGGGCATCCCCTGTCTTGATCACTATCATCAACCTCCACTTTCCATGTGAATCTATCCTGTATGCAGCCACCAAACTATAGAAAAATGTGTAATGGTTCCCCAAGGTCTGCAGGATAAAGTCAAGGCCCTGTGCATCTGACTATATGATGACGCTGGGAAAGTGGATTAATGGGCCATACTTATTTAGTGGTGCTTCCAACATAGCAAACGATCTTTTTAAAAACATTCCGTAATTAGAATATTTTTAATGATTATAGTACCGAGTGCCAGTTTCTTAGAGTAAATGTGATATTAATAGCTAAAGTATGTTAGATTCTAATATACTAGTAAAGGAACAAAACATAATCAGGAGAGGGTGTTACTGTACCAGTTTTCTTTATTTTCTTAAATTGGCCTGTTATAATGCTACATCAACAACCTTTGGATATGAAATAGTGTTCTTCTGCCTCCTTTTCTCACTAGAGGGTGCTAATTCACTTTAGTGAGCTAGGCTGTTTTCCTGGGACTAGCTTTCAGTAATTCTGGGAGAAGGTAAAAAAAACATATGCTAGTAATTTGAGGATTGTATTTGTAATTTCTATAAATTCACAGAAATTTTTAAAGAAAAGAAAATATTTGGTTGGTTGGCCTGGCTCAGTGGTTGAGTGTTGACCTATGAATTAGGAGGACACAATTCGATTCTTGGTAAGAACACATACACGAGTTGCAGTTTCGATCCCCAGTATGGGACATGCAGGAGGCAGCCGATCATTGATTCTCTCTAATCATTGATGTTTCTATCTCTCTCTCTCTCCTCTCCCTTCCTCTCTGAAATCAATGAAGATAAATACTTTTTTTAAAAGAAAATATTTTAATGTCTAAGTTTATGGTGGCAGGCTGACCTGCTGTGAATATGGACCTAGAGAGTGAAAGAACAGCTGTTAATTTATCATGTGCAAGAGTTTCTTATTTATTATAACATTGTTCTTAGTAGCATAAATTTTGAGTTATACATTTAAGAAATTGCCTTTTATCATATTTTAAAATAACTCCTAATTTGTATATTTTTGTATTTGTTATTTATGATTGCCATAATTACCATTTATTTAGGCCTGAACTCATTTTGAATTTTTCAGTTAAATCTATAAGTTTATATGTTGTTTAACATATTCCAATATAAGTAAGGAATATGGGGGCCATTAATTAGTATACCTATATTAGTGTAAGATATAGATTATATGATAGCTGTATGTGCATAGGTTTTCAAGTTACAGGTAGGTATAGTTTATTAATAGCACATGCTTGTATAAGTTTTTTCTTTTATTTGTAATTGTGTAGTAGGCTAGCATTAACTTGGTAAAGCTGTATAGAGGCAAAAGTATGGGAATTTGAGTCCTAAGCTCAAGTCTTATCCTGCTCATTAATTTCATATTCTGAACAAGTCCATTTGGTCATTTCAAAAATAATTATTAAGCACTTTTATTCATTCAATAGGAGTTATACCAAGCTATGAAAAGACAGCCCAGTAAATGTAGCAGGGAATAAGGACAACCAGCTAATTAAAGTGTGATTAAACACTTTGATAAGAAAGTTCTATAAGCACTCTAACCCATGCTCAGATGCTATTGTACTTCTCCTTTGTAGTACTGACTGCAGTTGTATTAATTGGCCAACTGTGGAGTCATTGCTTTAGTTCTTTCTCTCTAACCAGATGCTAAGGACTCTCTGTCTTATTCACTGCAGTACCCTCAGCACCTTGTGGAATATTTTGTTTTTAGATAGATACATAAATATTCATTTTAACTTTATTTTTAAATATTTTTATTGATTTCAGAGGGGAAGGAAGAGGGAGAGAGAGAGAGAAACATCAGTGATGGGAGAGAATAATTGATCAGCTGCCTCCTGCATGCCCCACACTGAGGATCGAGCCTGCAACCTGGGTATGTACCCTTGGCTGGAATCGAACCTGGAACCCTTTAGTCCACAGGCCAGTTCTCTATCTACTGAGCCAAACCAGCTAGGACTATCTTTGCTGTTGAAAGTATTACAGATGTCCCCTTTTTTCTCCATTGATTCCTTCTAGCCCATATCTGCTCCCCTCCCAGGCCTTCACCCACTAGGCACAGCTTATGGAGGAAATGGTATTTGAGTAGAATTAATGGATGAATACAGTCATGCACTGGGGATTATGTTCTAAGAAATGAGTCGCTAGGCAGTTTTGTCCTTGTGTGAATGTCACAGACTGTACTTACACAAACCTGGAGGATGTAGCCTGCTACACACACCTACACTATACGGAATAGCCTATTGCTCTTTGGCTACAAGCCTGTACAGCATGTTACTGTACAAAACAGCAAGAGATTAAATCAAGCACAAGAGAAAATGATGCAATCAGGAGACACGGTAAACATGAGAGGCCTGAGGCTGCTGCTGGCGCAACACGGCACAGAAAGATCACCGGCCTTTCTGGAGGAGAAACCAATATGGTCTGAGCACGTGTAGAATGTTGAGTTTAGTTCTGAGCATTGTATTTAACAGGTATACTGAAGAACTAAAATTGGTAGAGAACATTGTCAGTACAGTGAACAATCTGGAAGCTGTTTCGTACAGGGTATGATTGAAGGAAGGAGAAATATTGAGCTTGAAGAAAAATGGAAGTGTGAGGAATGTGGGAGATTCCATTTTTGTTCCAATTTGTCATTTCTCTATAACAGAATTATACAGCCACATCCTTGCCTGGCCTCATGGTAGCCAGAATGTATTTCCCTGACCCTGACTTTGAGCTCATGCATGTGTCCTGTATTGGCCGATTAGTAGAAGTGATGTAAGTCAGAGTCTTAAAAAGCACTTGTACGGTTGGCCTGCCCTCTGTTTGAGCCTGGGTCCCCGGGATCTGGCCTAGAACTGGAGTTCAGAGCAGTCAGAACTGGGGCTCAGCACAGTCCGGAGCTTTTATCTCCTTCCCGCTAGGGAACGCCAGCCAGGCACTCAGCCTCCCCCTCGTCTCTGGCTCTGTCCTTTCTGTGTGCACCGCGTGTCTCCGTACCTTAGGCTTTTACAGCTCCTCCGCTTTTCCTTCTGGTTTTCCCTTTCCTTCTTGTTATAGAATTTCCAGTCAGTCGACTTTCCTGTAGCTCTGGGAAATGTCCATTTTATATTTTAGTTGTATTTTATTGAAATTGTTGTGTGCGGCTGTGTTAGGTGTTTACCTGTGCAGCCATCTTGGATCCTTCCTCCAGATTTTTATTTTATTTTTTATTGAATTGATTGGTGTGACATGGGTTCACAAAACCATATAGGTCTCAAATCTACAACTCAACAAACATCATCTGCACACTGCATCGTATGCCCATCACCCAAAGCAAAGTCTCTTTCTATCCCCATTTATTGCCCCTTTGCACACCTCTGCCTACCTCCAACCCATTTTCCCTCTGGCTGTCACCACACTGTTGTGTGTGTCTTTGTGTTACATGTATGTTTTTTAAAATCCCTTCACTTTCTTTCATCCAGCCCCCAGCCAACTCCCTTTCCTCTGACCGCTGTTAGTCTATTCCATGTATCCATGCCTCTGCTTATATTTGTTTGTTAATTAACTTATTATTATTCTATAGATTCCACATATAAGTGAGATCAGATGACACTTGTCTTTTTCTGACTGGCTTATTTCACTTAGCGTAATAATCTTCAGGTCCATCCATGCTCAGTTTCTTATAATAAATGATCACAGCTAACTGCACTGGCTTTGACACAAGGATACTCTATATGCTGTAATACGTTATCAATTTTATTGTTAAATGTATTTTTTCATTGTATGTTTTCATTACATCAATAATGTAATAGTCTTTTTTCAAGCTGTTCAATTGCAGAATGGAAAACTGTACTTCTAAAAAGTCCTTTCAGTAAACTGTGGCCTATTGTAGTCTCCAGTAGTCTGTGATAAACCATCAAGTGTGCAGAGACCAAGTAGCCCTCTCAGTTGATGCA